GTTGAGCGAAAATCTTCTTACTCTTAATAAGTTAATATAGAGCAATTAATTGTGTATCGTATTGGGCGAAGAACGCAGATTTTTTATTTGTATACTTTTGGAATAATGACGGGTATAATTTTATTAGACGAATTATGATATGAGTACAGCGAAATTTCACAGAATACACACAGAAATTTGAAATGGATGGTCTGGATTCAAACATGGAGGAGGGAAAATACAGATACTGAGATACACGCACATGATTTTTCCAATTCAAAATTCTGTACAAAATCTGGCAACATTTCTTGTACTTAAAAGAATTATTCTTATTAGACTTAATTGAGAATCTTTCTAACATCTCAATGTAAAATTTATCGATTTTTTTTATCTAATAAATGCATTCCTTTTAATAAGCAGTTTGTTGCAGTTATTAGCTCCAATATTACTAGGATATTGGAGCATTCCATGTCAACGTTTTTATTTAAATTTATTTTTCAAAGTACTGTATCACATGTACGTTTCACATCAAAACTTAACACCTGCATATAATAAATAAATGATGATAATATTTGAGATTTGAACTCAGTTATTTTATCAGTCTTTAATATCATGTTAAGTATCTTATCTAAAAGCTTATATGATTAGATCGGATCACACTTATCGATTTAATCTTTCAACAAACACATATATATAATCAAAACTCATGGTCTTCACAATAATTCATTAAATAATCACCATCTCCACAAATACATTAAAATGATAATGCTCTTGATTTTTTCTTTATTTTTTGAGGGGCAAAATGAATGACTTCACTAATTCAAATTGCCACGAACAATACGCGAATGAAAAATAGGTAAACACAATCAATCCCCTTGGCGTCTGTTTTCAAATTTCTGTTGGCTGCTCCACTCATGTAATTGAGCCCTCGTTTGGTGCCCGTTATTCCAAAAAAAAAAAAAAAGGAGTTTGGATAGTATTTTTAGGAAAATGTATAGTTAAAAAATAAGAAAAAAATTTTGAATTTACGTACAGAATATTTTATCGTGTAAATATATGGTCTAGAAATAGCAATTTTCTCCGTCCCGCCCCTACCCCGCGGGACCCGCCCCGAATGGAGCAAAAAACCTGCCCCGAATGGGTTGGCTAGGCGGGGAGGGGTTTGCCGCCCCGTCCCAGGTCACGTCCGCCCCGCCCCGAACCTGCCCCATGAAGAATTTAAAAAAAAATGTTTTGAACATTGTTTGCTTTGGACATTTTTTTTTTCAAGTGCTTACTTTGGATATTGATGTAGTTAGTTTGAACATTATTTATTTTGGATTTTAAAATTTTGAATTTTGAATTTATATTTTAATTGAAAATTTAAAAAGAAAAAAAAAACTAACAAACGGGGTAGGCCCACGCCCCGCACCCGCCCATTCCCCGCCCCGAACCCGCCCCCGTTGCCATCACTAGTATGGTCGAAAATGATCATGTAGCAAAAAGAAATTTAAAACAATGGGCACCAAATATGGAGAAAGTATGCTTGGACTTTTGGTAGGAGAAGACTTCGGTTCGAGAGTAACTCTACATATTTGGTGGCCATTCCGAGATCAAGTTTCTGTGGTGTTATAGATGGATTTTGTTGTCACTCACATCTACAAAGAAGGCAACCGAGTTGCAAAACTGCTTGGCCTCTAGAACTCCTAACATTGTGCTCTTACTTGGTGGTGGAATGCTTCGCCTTTTTTAATCTATGATTTTGCTTGATTCGAACTTTTACGATTTAAAAATGCCATTTCTGATAATCTTACAAGGATGTTTGATACACTTTCCATTACAAATTGGTCAACAGGATAGCTAAGATATTTTGTAATATACTTTTCTTCTTTGTTCTGTTCTTGATTATACAATTCAATGTATTAAATATATTTAAAGAAAGTCACCTCTTGGAAATAAATTATTATCATATTTATAAGTACACTAAGATCATCACATCATTTCTCGCTAATACGGGAAAGAGTTTCTATTTAGCCGCTCAAGAATTTATAAACAAAATATAATTTATAATTAGATAGAAATAATTGATGGATAAGTAAATATTACTTATTTAAGGATCTATTAAAATGTGTGGTTGAAAATGAAGTTTGGATTACTCATTCATTCTTTCTTTCTTTTCTTTTACCAAAATCCAGATCTCATAAGTAGGAATGGCAAAAAATTCTGTTCAACCCGAAACCCGTAAGGCCCCGCCCCGTTCGGGGAGAGAATTACCCGTCTAATCGGATAAACGGGGCGGGAACGAGGCAAGGGTCATTGCCCCGAAACGAGTACGAGAATCATAGTCCTCACCCCGCTACCTGTCAAGTTTAAAATTAATATTAAATTTAAATTTTTTATCAAACAAAATAATAAATTTATCATATTTTTAAAGATAACGTAAGTTGTTTCTAACAAATTGGTAAAAAAGTAGTAATATTTACCAAGTAAAGACATAGAAAAAAATAAAAACAAAAAATAAAATAAATGGGGTGAGGGACCTGCCCCGCCCCACCTCTATCCCTCCCCGAACCCGCCTTATTCCACTTTAAACGGGTGTGAGTATGTAATAAGGTAACAAAAATACCCGATGGGATGGTAGTGGAAATGACCGATTCATATCACACCCTCTCTGTTGCCATCCCTACTAATAAGACACATATAATGGCATATTTTGTGTTTTGGATTGAACTAACCAAGATAAAAGTAGCCTTACCTCATAAATTTTAATTTAAAATGTCTTCGGATTGGGAAAAATATTTGAGGTAACTTTATTTTAAATAACAATATTTTTAATATACAGTTGGCCAATGGAATAGGTCAAAATCTACCCTAGATCAAATAAGATGAAAATCTAACCCCATCTGTTGCCCAATCGATCCCTATTTAAAGAAGATGAATAGTTATTTCACAAACGTGGGTTCACATGTAGTTAGGTAGATAATTTTTTAAATAATGATATTTAGCACAAATAGTTTTAGAACACCTTTATGTAACAATATGTGATATGTTAATTAAATATGAAATTTTTTTAATTAGTTAATGCAACATGTAATTCAATGTCATTAGTGTTGCCATTTAAATTTCTATTAAATATCAGTGTTGATAAATAACATTATTCTTACATTGTAAAATGGTATCCCTGGAATTAATTGAATTGAAAAACGAATGAGGAATTTGGGAAGAACCGTGTTACTTGTACAATTGGGGGGTGATTTTGTTGACAATCTCTCACACATGGGATGAGTGAGTGGATTATTATTTTTTTAACACAATGGAACCCACCATTGAGAGGTTGTTAATCTCGATAGTACAGGTGGTGTTTCCCATTTTGGAAAAGACTTGTACAACTGGTTTTTGCAAGTTTCAAGGTAGGGCAGAGGAAACACACATAAATAAATGATTGGTTTACATTTTTTTTCCCTCGAATTAGCTAGCTAAAGTCAAACCACGTGAAGAGGAACTTGTAGAAAATTATAGAAAATTTCAAACTAGCTAACACAAGTCACACAACCAAACATCTACTAACTAAAACTTAAATGTATTCTTTTTTATTAAATATTATCAAGTTTTACCTGGTATGTTCACAACGACTACTCCACGACAGAACAATTGATCAATTTTACGAAGTATCTATTCCTCAATCATGTTTATTGTTGTCTTATTCAATATATCGAACTTGATGATATTTTATGAGAATGTGTAGATAATGTATACGACTTTCCATTCAAGAAATATTTAATGTAGATAACTAATGATTCTATTATTTTATATACATACTCTGAGCTGGTAAGTAGATTTAAGCTTTACTATAAATTATGAGAGCCCACGACTTGATTAAAAAAAAGCTAGAATACTTTCTTTAGTATAGCTTTTAGGGATTGTTTTCTTGACAGGCTACCAAAAGGGCCCTAAACTTGAAACATATGTCAGCAATTAATAGTGGAAACAATAATTGCAATTCAATAAGAGAGTTTGGATCGATTTAGTATTAATATACCGATCCGCCCAAGAACTTGTCGAGTTGAATGAGGTCTTGGGGGAGAAGTGGCGAACGGTGAAGACTGGGTCCAACAGGCTCTGGAAGGAATTCTAGGTGAAACTACGAAGGAATGCACGAATAATTTGGGTCCAAATTATATAGGCATAAGCGTCCAATTTATTTTGATAGACTAATTATATATGTTCCTGATTTTCATCACTTAAGAACATTCTTAATTGTGCGTGTTTGGCTAAGCTTAAAAAATTAAGTTTAAGTAAATAAATGAACTTTTGTTAATGGTCAAAGTTGAAATAAATCAAGTTATTTTAATATATTGGATTTAACTTATACCTCACTTTCAAATAAGCAATTTTTTTTATTTGAAAGTACGGAAACTTTACCGATAAGTAGCTTAAATTTACGTTTAAGTACTAAATATATTATTCCATTTATTGTTAAATTTAGAGGGAAAACGTGTTTTCGTTAATGTTCACTTTGGAACACTTTCAAGACATGCGTGTTCGATAGATCGTTCTAAATGATATTAAATAGGATAATCACAATTTTTGTCAAGCGTGCGCTTGTTTTCTTTAATCGTGTACAATTCTATATGGTCTCAATATCACAATATACTATACAAGTATCCGAGACTAAAATTATCGAGTATTTATTTATTTAATTACTTCTAGAATAAGCAGTACATTCCTTGTGAAATCTGCACAAAACTTACTTGTAAATCTTAATGAATCCTTTAATTCAAACATGTATATTTTGGACAATGTCTCAACAGTCATGTTTAATGATCACGTTGATCAATTCCAATTGCGTAGGTGAATAAGAATGAAAGTTGAATTGATGACGTGTATGCCACGTAGGATTGAGAAGGCAAACACCCCACCCCTACCCCCCCCCCCTCTCAATTCATTCTGCTTATATATGTGTGTACATATTGGCAATGCAACTACAAGTTTACATATATTACTATATTACGACTACAAGAGGGATTATTAGAGAGAGAGAGATGGCAAGAGAGATTGTGAATGCAGAATTGGAGGAGATGTTGAGTGAATCATTAGCATATTCTAACGAAGCTAAGAAATTGCCGTTTTTGTCATTAAATCATGTCTCTTTTGTCTGCAAATCTGTCAAGAAATCTGTGCAGTTTTACGAGGAAGTTCTTGGATTCGTCCTAATCAAGAGACCCTCTTCTTTCGACTTTGAAGGGGCTTGGTACGTACATTCATTCATATCTCTATATATCTGCGTGTGTCATCATGTCTAGTCGAATGTACCAAAGAATATTTTTCGACTCTTGGTCATGAGAATTTGATAACTAATCCAATTTGAATTTAATTTGTAGGTTGTTCAACCATGGAATAGGAATCCATTTGCTTGGAGCAGCAGAAAATGTTCCCAACAAGAAAGAGAAAATAAACCCGAAAGACAACCACATTTCATTCCAATGCTCAGATATGGAACTCATAATCCAGAAATTACAAGAAATGGAGATAGAATATGTGACAGCAGTGGTTAAAGAAGGAAGCATAACAGTGGATCAATTGTTCTTCCATGATCCAGATGGCTATATGATTGAAATTTGCAATTGTCAAAATTTACCAGTTCTTCCACTTTCATCCTGCCCTCTTAAGGAGCTACCAAACCCTATTCCTAAAATAACAACATCGTCTATCTCCTGTGAGTTCTATTCAGTTTCTCATTAATTTCGTTGAATTTATCGCATCATTTTAATATGATAATAGCGTAGAGAAAGATCCTGAATTCAAGTTTCGTCCATTACACTTTTTCTTTGCAAGTGATAGAGCGACCGTCAATTAATAGATGTTAATTTTGTAACGAATCACAGGGAAGAAGTTGCAGTGCAGAGAAGTAGAAGCTCTGATGCTGGAGAATTTGGCAGCGGAAATGATGGACATTTCAATTTGACATTATTTTTTTTATAACAATATTGTAAAATATATGGATGGAGATGAGCAAGAATTTTAATTTTAATTTGTTTGTAATATATATGGATAAGCTTTTCGGGTTCTTTCGTGTCTTCGGATTAATGGTAAAATATTGTCAATTGATACTTTTGTAAATTTGTCAACTTATAATTACGTCAACTTGTATTTTAAATTTGTCGCAATTGTCATTCGTGAGTAATAAGAGAACCAGATTAAATTTATTTATGCATTACAAAGTAATACTATACTAAATTGCTATTTTATTTTAGAGTAATACTACTTGCAGTCGCTCACTGCAGCAATCTCCCTATGTAACACACACATAACATGTAGTTATTTGATACATTAATATGGTAGTTTTTTACCACATTTAATGCATCAAATACACACTTGACATATGTATGCCACATAGGGCGGCTGCTGCAATGGGCGCCTGCTGCAGTGAGCGACTGTAAGTAGCATTATTCTTTATTTTATTTTCGTTGACGTAGGAATCCGTAGTCGCTACCGCCAGCGAAGGCCTCTTGATCTAATGATTGAGTATACAGTAAAAAAATTAAAATTTTCTTGTGAGTAAATCTATTTTTAAAGACTTTTCTAACGACACATATGTACTTGAGCAAAATTGAAACAATGAAAAGAAAAGAAATCAACATCAAAAGGAACGGAGAAAAAAATGTTAAAGCAAAATTAAATAAAGTAATAATCAAAAGAATTAATCCTAGCAAGAACGTCAAAAACTTGTTGCAGTTTTATCCACAAGTGGACGGTATCATAATAATTAATATAACGATGAATAAAGTATTGTTCCATGGAGATTGATTGTCCATTCTACATTAATCAAAACTAACTTTAAAAAAACACACACACACACAATCAATATTAGAGTTTTTGAAATGATTTTCCTAATTAATAATTAAACTGAGAAATTCGAATGCGTATGAAAATCTTAGAATAAAATCCAATCAAGTAAAGCAGAGGGACGACAAATCCACGGTAGCAACCCTCATTCAAACCTTAATTACTCGTCAATTGTTAATTCTTGCCGAAGTTGAAAATTAACGATCCAATTTTAATCAAAAGCCTTTCTCAAATGTCATTCAATTCTACACTTGTATGTAACCCTACTTATCTCTAATTAAGTTACGAACACATAAGCGTGTATTGGTTCACAAAGATAATCACATATGATGTCATTACGTATAACAATATCTATATAATTATAGGACCATATATTGTTCATTACCATGTGTTAATTTATACTAAATATCTCGAAACTAATATAAATTATACATCTCGGAAGCAATGTATACCATATGCTAATTTGTTGTGCCATTTTGGCTTGTTAAATTTGTGCATTACTTTCATTTTTAATAAAATCTTGAGACTGACTGATGAGGAAAATTTCAGTTGGACGGTTCTATATGCACACGTGGTAGACCATCCATCCAACTAATGATGCGTTTTTTCTCTTACCTTTTTTTTCAATCCACCCCTCACAAGACAACCAGTGTCTTTTATATCAAAGTCTATTTTTACTTTATCTCTCTTTCTTACTTTTTATCAAATTTAACCTTTTATCTTTATCTCTTCTTATTTTTCATTCGAAAGTTATACCGAATCATTTGAACTTATACAGTTGAATCAAAATTTCCAAATATATATTTGTTGGATGAATTTGATCTTTTTAAAACTAATTTTATATTATGGGCTTGTTTGAGTTCCATTTTTGTCAAAAAAAAATGCATTTTTGAATAGTATATTAATGAGAAATGTGTGGTTAAAAATGAGAAAAAATTTTAGATTTACGTGCAATATTATTTTATTAAAAATGTATGGCTGAAATGGAATCCAAACACTATTCAATAATACATTTTTTTTTTCAAACAATGGGACTCAAACAATGGCCATACGTGTTGATTGTCTTCCAAATTTATATCATGTTGCTTTAAATCATAGTCATTTGGGCCCTGTTTGATTGCTCTTTCTTTTCCATGGAAGATGGAAATTCAAGTCTATTTCCACATTTTTGCATGTTTGATTGACTAAATTTTTCATGTAATTGGTTTTCCACATTTTCTTGGTTATTGAGGAAAAGCTTTTCTAGATAGGATTTTTTTTTTTTTTGGAAATTGAAACAAATTATATTCCTTTAATGGACAATTTTCATGCAAAACAAAGTCAAACGAATATCAAAAGATCCAAAATTTCAATATTTTCAGGTGAAAAATTATACCAATCAATTGATAATTCATAGTAAAAACAAGTTCTAGACAATTCAATTCCTTGAAATTCATTTTCTTTCCACCCAAATTCCATTTTTGCAATCAAACGGACCCTTAGTGTCTTACCTAGCTGTTCTAATAATTCATTTAAATGATGTATAGCGTTTATTTAGGCCTTTCCCGTACATATACCTTGTCATGTGGAATCTTTAGTTCTAAATTGTTTAAAATTGCTCCATAATTTCTTCGGAATATTTGAATGACAGAAAGTCAAAATGAATACCAAACAATTGATGCAATGCACATGGTAACTGATGCTGGGAAGCTACTACCAAACATCATTCACATCAGTATCTTCATTGAGCAAATCATTTAATAATGCAATCTCACCAAATGAAGAAGCATGGACTCCATTAACAAATTTCAGATCATCGAACGACATTGCTCATTAACACGATTATCAACTTCTTTGAATAATATCTTTCTCCTTATGTAATATCGATGGCGACAATTCTTCCTTGCTTTTATTTTTCCTTTCATACCATAATTTACTTTTTGTATCCCATACAAAATGTTCTGAATTCCGTATACAACAACATTTCGGCGCCTTTCGTGTTGCTAATGTTCATACGAAAATATCGTGTTAATATCTATAGTTGCAAAAATCTTTTGTACAATTTGTTGTAGACCGTCAAATTTTTTATATGTAACTTTGTTTCGATTCTCTTGATGTAACTGAAGGGAAATGTAACTGACTCATATCATAAAGAGTAATCTATAAATTCTCCACATAACTTCATGTATTGGTACATTTAATTAATTTCGTAGAAAAACAATATCAATATCATCGATGTTGACATAAACAAATTTTGTCATGACGTTTGCAAACATATTATTAGTCTGAATTGATAAACACGCATCAACATTAATGTGACAATTATACGTTGCTAATAAGTATGAATTATATGGAACAACCCATCTGTATCCAAATCACGGTCCTTAATTTAACCTTTTTAATGTCATTGGACCTTCGATATACAAGATGACAATTTTGACATATCATTTTCTTTTTGTTGTAATCTTTTGAATAGTCAAATTTACACTTATTATCGCTTTTCATGCAAACACTTCCGAGATTCAAAATGCCATAAGGATCATACATCATATGTTTATTAATAAGGATATAGATATGGATTTTTATTTATTAGGAATTTAATTTAGCACTAATTATATTATCTATTAAATCATGGGAATTAAGGATCATGCTACGTGTACACAATGGTGTACACACGGCTTTACACCCCCTTCACATGGAGGGGGGCCCACACACAATAAAATATTCGTGAACCCCTCTCCATGTGAGAGGAGTGTAAAACTGTGTGTACACCATGAGCCGTACACATAGCATTTTTCTTCATTTAATTGTCGAAAAGGTTACCTGTATGTCCGATATACTAACAAGATAATACAAAACGTTGGTTACTACCATTTTTCTATAATCGCGTTAGAATATTCCAATTCAATATATTAAACACATTTCACCTCTTCCAAATACATAACATATTTATATATACACTGAGATCCTCCAATCATTCTTGCAAAAAAAAAAAAATCACGTTTGGAATCTTTGAATGTGAAAACAAATAAAGTAAATGTCATGTGTTTCACAAGGCAAATAATCTTTCTTCTCCAACCAAGTAATGGGCTTGTTGAGATTATTGTAAGAAGGACAAAGTCTCTGTCAGTGGACCTTTTGTCATTCACATGGTAGTTACGTGAAATAGTATTTCTTTTCTAATTTTCTTGATTTAGTTTCACCAAACGTTGTTTTTAGTCAATTTTAGATTTAAATGGCTAATTAAAGTAATATATTTGTGCATTTAATTATTTGGCGTAGTTGTTGTTCATAATTGGAAACAAATGACAAAAAACAAAGTTGTTGTTCCCAATTGACAAGAAAAGGAAAGACAGGAACATAGTTGTTTATGTAGTTTTTAATGGGTGTTGTTCATTTTTCATTATTCTTCTTTATTTACTCATTTATTTATTGATTATCAAAAGATCGTCCTATAATGAATCTCAGAATTAACTTGAACGATACTTGTGCATGTTTGGCAAAGTTTAAATTATTATCCATACATTTCGTAGGACTCGTAACTATTAACCACTTATTAATTATCTACACATTCTGTAAGATTCGCGATGTAGAATCACTTACAAACACCAGAACATGCTCTTAATAAGATTTAAAAAAAAAAAAAGGAGTATAAAATGCTGTATAGTGTCATGTCTTTAATGTCTCACCAGAACATGCTTTTAATAAGATTTAAAAAAAAAAAAAGTAGTATAAAATGCTGTATAGTGTCATGTCTTTAATGTCACGGAAATTCCATTTGTACAACAAGGGTTGGCCGAAGAGTTTGACAACCTCTCACAATGGTGAGCACCACTGTTATTAAAAAAAGAAAAAAATTATCCATCCACCCACCCCATGTGTGAGAGGTTGTCAACAAAACCAACCCCTTCCCCCTGTACAAGTAGCACGGTTCTTAATGTTATTGAATAATGTTACTTCACATCCGATCAAATTACCCCTATCTATCTGCATAAAATGGACTCTATTTAAGTCACATATATTTTTTTCCCAATTCAATTTGAAAGAATAACACGGTGCGTTGCAATACTCATAAAGATTATGGAAATTATCAATTACAAATTTAGAAATTGCCAATTATAATTTGAACTTAACATTATTCAATACTTCGGAAGAAAGGAAACTAAACTATGGATTGAAGTCCACCCATGAAGCCTATAATATGCATACAAGTTATGATTTCGGAAAGACGTGAAAAATATAATAATAATAATAATAATAATAATAATAATAATAATAATAATAATAATAATAATTGGTCTTTAAAAAGGTGGTCTAAAATGTTTCTTCAGAGAAAGGTGTTTACTGCAAATAATTGAACTAAAAAGAATCAAATGAGCTGAAAATTATATGAACAGCTGGTTATTGGCTAGTTTCATTAGGACAAAGTACAAAGTGGAAAAAAAAATTGGATTGGTGAAAGTGGACCTCCACTACGGGACACAAAGCTATATCTACACCAATCCTAAAGATGGGTTTCTTGCATCCATTTATCCTTTCTTTTTTTAAAATATTTTTCTCTTTCAACCTGCTAACTGAGTCAGCCATGTGCAGAAAACTTGACGAAATTTTTAATTAAAAGAGAATTATAGAAACTTTCCATCTAACTTGTTGCCAGAAGCAAACATTTTATGTATTTTATTTTGCTAATTATTTAATCAAGTAATTTTACCTCTTTTTCAAGTTATAGTATGTTCGAACAGCTATAAATGAGATGAATAGATGTTTATTCTTAACATTTTCCACAGAAAAACTAAGCACGTGTAGATGAAGAATTATTCTTTACAGATGTTTCGAGCTGGAATTATTCTTTACAGATGTTTCGAGCTGGAAAGGGTGTTGGTGAACTTTAAATTATGGTAAGAAGATACCAAACATTATCGTTTTTTGACAGAAAATCAAGCGGGCACTAAACTTTGAAAGTCCCTCAGCTATAACACATCAATAATTTCAAATGTACCCAAATTTTTTTTAACAAAATGCTTAGAATCCAATTTACTTTAGTAGATTAAAATTATGTAAATCGTTACTAAATTCAATATGTTGAATTATTGTCTTTTGGCTATAATGATTCCTTAAATGTTGGCTTTGGGACGCTTTGATGGGAAAAGCAGGATTTGATGTTCGCTTTAGACTCCAGTGTTAGGAAAATATTGAGTGGTAATTACATCCAAATAGAATTTTTAAGATTCAATTTCAAAAATCAGATATAAAGTTTATTTATACAAAAATCAGATATTATTTCAAATATTTAATATTATTAATACCACAAAAATTCATCGAAAACCCTAATTAATTCCCCCTTTCATTTCTCTCTCTCTCTCTCTCTCCATCTTTAAACCCATCTCTCTCGACAGTCGGCAGCTCTACTCGTCGCGGTGCAGTCACGACAGATCCTTCTCCCTCTACCGTTGGCAGCGCAATCACAGCAGTCAGCATCCTTCTTTCTCTACCGTCATGGTGCAGTTTTCCCTCTCTCTGTTTCACACAACAGTCGACATCCCCCTCTCTCTCTCTCTACCCATCGCGGCGCAGCGGTGCTGCATCGCCGATCTGCTCCTCTTGCAACGGTACCGTGCGACTGTCGAGCTCAATTATTGTGACACAGCTGTGCGCAGAGATGCGATGGTCTCTCAATGTTTGCAGCACCGTAATGGGGTGTTGTGATTTTTGGTGCAGGATTAATTGGGGTTTGAATGCTTGCAGCACCGTGCAGTCGTGGTCGGGACATCGAATGGGGATTTTTTGGTGAATGTGGTAGTTGTGGTGTAATGGAGATGGTGGTCCTGATATTTGGTACAAGAGGTAATGGCACTGCTTTTGCTGGTCGTGGCATTGATGGTACGATGGTGTTGGCGGTGCGGGTGTTGGTGGTGGGGTTGACACTGGTCGTTGTTTTGTAGTTGAAAATGATGGTTTGGAGGTTTTGATGGCGGCGACGACGGTAGCGGTGGTGGTCACAAGTGTTGGTTGTGGTCACAGATTATTTGGTCGTATATGACCATTAAACTCATTGATATGTGATCGATAAACAATATGTGACCAATGAAAAAATATAAATTGTGATCAAGAAATGATGTGTGACCTAAAAAATTGTTAATTTTTTATCGATAATTTGACAATTTATGAATATTTACTAAATTGTGACTTATAATATTTGTGATTTATGACCGATGAATAAGTTGTGACGTATAAATTTTTTTATTTGTGACCGATGAATAAATTGTGACTTATAAAATTTCTGAATTGTGACCTATAAAATTTCTGATTTGTGACCGTAAAATAATTTGTGATTTATAAAATTTCTGATTTGTGACCAATGAACAAATTGTGATACGTAAAATTTTTGAATTGTGACCATAAAATAATTTGTNAAAATAATTTGTGGCTTATAAAATTTTTGATTTGTGACTAATGAACAAATTGTGACATATAAAATTTTTGAATTGTGACCGTAAAATAATTTGTGACGTTTCAATTTTTTATTTGTGACTGATGAACAAATTGTGACCTATAAAATTTTTGAATCGTGACCGTAGAATAATTTGTGACATGTAAAATTTGTGATTTGTGACAAATTAATAATATGTGACCAATTATATAGAATTTGTGACCAAATTATATGGAATTGTGACCTTAATTTATTTAATTAATAAAATGTATGTTTAATTAATTAATTAATTAATTAATTTTAAAAATATCTGAAATTTGAAATTTTAAACTTAAGTTCTTAAATTTGAAATTGGTAAAACTAAACCTCTTAGTTCTGTATTGTTCCCAAATGTTAATTTGTCATGTGAGACTCCGAATGTAATTAATTGTGTATAAAGTTTATCTTAAAGTTAAGCCCGTTTAAAATGATCTAATAAAGAATTTAAATTATTGAACTTTGGGCATCTAAATAAAGTATGTGCTAAATATGTGTAGAGATCGGATCCATTATAGTTATATTTGATGATGGGGCAAATACATATAAAAATATAAATAGGGTTATGATCCTCCATTCATATGTAATTTCTCATTCTTTCTGACATCACATCGATATAAGAATATAAAAGAAAGTATATTGAAGAAGAACGCCCAAAATCAACAATCAAAAACAATTAATCAAGAAGAATGATAGAAATAATCAAGATTTATAGCATGTTTGGTTAAGTTTAAAATTCAATTAAAATTGAAAATATAGCCGTTATTGGGCCTCACACGTCTAATAAAAATCAACAATAATGGTTAGTTTTCAATTTTAATCCGATTTTAATTTCTACCGAACACATATAGAGATTGCAAGTTCAAGCTTCAAGATTCAAAATTCAAATCAATGGATCAAGGTATATTTTACGTTAATTAAGTTTCTTAGTGATTTGACATGAAGATCTTGGCAATTCATGAAGTTGTATAAAGTTTAAATTTCATAAAATTCAACGTCCAGATGCCCATCCAATGTGGCTAGAGGTTGGGTCTGGGAAATCGCCTCGAATAGGGGAAGTGACAAGTTTGTATGGAGTTACGTTATCTCGGAGGTCATTGTCGATGGGGGTGTTGGTGGGCTTTCAACGACTTGGAAACGAAGGTGGTCGAGGTGGCAATAGATAGCCTCATTGCATCAGAAATAGGTGCTTGCAAGGCATTTTGTTTAGCTAAACGAGACTTGTCGGGTAGACAAAGGCGTAATTTATATATATATTAATGTTTTTTGCACGTTTATCAATTCTATCCGCGTCCCTGAATGAATACGTTAAGTTGAATTTTCACGTGTATGTCAATTGCCACATAGGATTGAGATGGCAAACTTCATACTCTCATCTCCCTCTCTCTCTCTCTCTCTCTCTACTCATTCTGCTTATATATACGTGTGTGCTTATCAGCATTATGCAAAGCAACTCTAGAGTTCTACACACATATTTAATATATTAGGACAAAAAGAGGGTGTTTTAGAGAGAGAAAGTGAGAGAGAGAGAGATGGGAAGAGAGACTGCGAATAGAGAAATAGAGGAGATGTTGAGTGAGCCGTATTCTAATGACGCAAATAAATTGCCATTCTTGTCATTAAATCATGTGTCTTTTGTCTGCAAATCCGTCAAGAAATCTGTGCAGTTTTACGAGCAAGTTCTTGGATTCGTCCTCGTCAAGAGACCCTCTTCTTTCGACTTCGAAGGAGCTTGGTAAGTATACTCATCTCAATCTGTGTGCGTGTGTGTGTCTGTGATCAGGTTGCATTGGGGTAAAGAAGATGAAAAATATGCAACATTTTTCAAATTAGCACATTATGCATATTACTTTCCAAAATTTCCAAGATTTTAAGCATACATAAATAGTTTATTCCTGATATTTAAGCACTTACATAGTTGCATTAATTAGTTATTGCTTCGTTCCTACTGGTTACAACAATTATCCATAAAATTGACAATAAAAGAAAGTGGTATTATAAACCTACTACTGAATCTAATGAGTTAAAGTAAAGTCAAAGTGTTAGTTGGTCATTGTTCGTTCCAAAATATGGATTCGATACAATTGAAAAAGAAAAGAAATTAACAAAATCGAAATGATTGAAGTTTTTCTATTTGGAATCGTGTTAGGTCTAATTCCTATTACTTTTTGGCTGGATTATTCGTAATTGCTACAATACAGACGCGGTGATCAGTTGTACCTTTGATTAATTCAAATCTCTTTTTTATTTACTTCCTCCTTTCTTTAATCCGCAGGAGGTCAAATTCAGGTTGCTCTTCAAGTTAGTGAAGTTATTTCATTGTAATTAGACCTAACAAGAACGGAATCACGCTCTGTAGGATTTGAACCTACGACATCGGGTTTTGGAGACCCACGTTCTACCGAACTGAACTAAGAACGCTTTCTTATCACAGTAGATACGACTGTAAAGTAAAGAAAAAGGATTCTTTTTGTACCCCCAATACACTGGATGTATATAGTCTCATAAAATGAAAATATGTATATCCAATTTGAATCCATCTCAATGGATCCCTCGTTACTGCCCAGAGGAGAAGAATAGGTAGGGATGACAGGATTGGAACCCGTGAAATTTTTACCCTCAAAGGCGCTACCAAGCTGCGCTACATCCTGGTCTACAGTGTCATTGTAGAGAATCCCTGCCCTCTTTTCCTCCACATCGTTATTTCCTCCATCGATCTAAAATTTCTCTTGCCATTTTTGCTTTTTTTTTATTTATATACTCATCATCATCCCGCCGCTCCTATCAACGCTGACTTACTTAT